AAGAATTGAGGCAGTTCTGAAGGCAAAAGGGGGTCCAACCCGTTACTAGCATGGGGTACCTAATAAAGTGGCCGGTGAGTGTAGATGCATCTATACTTATGCTATGTTCAGGCTGCATGCTATGGAAGCAGCAGGAGAGCGCCTAGTGCTTCGTTTTTGATGCTTGTTCACACTAAGCTCACATGCGCGTCAAGAGCAGCTTTGACGCCCCTGAAGCGCGTCCAGTAAAGTGTATCCAGATGCGTCTGCTGCTTCTGCCGCTTCTGTGTTCAATGGCAGAGAGTGGCTTTGCTATATTTGCTGTTATAAGTGGGTAAAAAGTCGTTTTAATATGTTTTTAAATGAGAAAGTCCACCTCAAGATTATGATCTTGCCTTAAAATATTATTTCGTTGTCGGACCAGCACAAACCCATACACCAGCAGTGCTCTGTCACAGGAAATCCTCTTCAACAGCAGCCTCCGCCATCGTTCTGGGCAACTGGAAGGAAATGTTTGCATTATCATGTACATATTCCAAACTGCACACACCAGAATAATAAAATCGTACATATTTTGCTGGCAGGTTTTGACATTTTAAGTTAATATAAGTGTTAATAAACTGTTTCAGAGGAGTGATAATAGCAATCTGCATCAGGAGTGCTATGTCTGTCTCCCTGCCAGCTCCCAGATCTGCTTCTCTGATTGGTTGATGAGGCGCGTCGAGCGGCAAAAGTAAAATTTTTCCAACTCCAGCAGCAGCTGGTCATGAGGTCATGAGGCACCGCTTTAGTTGCTAAGATGCGTCAAGATACACTGCATGCTGAAACATGCTGCAGGACCTTTTGCTGCGCCTTGATGCGCATCAACCATTGACTTTTCATGTAAACCAGCCTCTCCTGCTGCTTCTGCAGCATGCGGACTGAAGGTAGCATTAGGCAGTGTTCCATTTATCTTTCTTACTTTTATGTTGAAAGGGTCTAAAAGGAACTCCAAATATTTCTCACTGGGTATAACTTGTTGTGTGTCCGCATCAGTGATTATTCAAGAATCCTGGTAATAACAGCCAGGAAAATCCCTTTATGAAGAAGACAACAGGCAGTATTGCTTTCTAGACAACTATGAAAAAGCCTGTTACAATTTTTTTTTTTAAACAAATCATTCAATTCCACCCCATTTATACAGATCTTCTATTTAAGCATTGTAATTGTTTTTTCACCCCCAAGTCTTTGATTTTAAAGCAAAGACAGAAATAGAAATGCCTGCTGGGATGTGCAGCCGTTAAAGTCTTGAGCCTCTGGCAGTGAGTCAGCAGCATTTTTTCCTCACCACTCAGAAACCAAAAGAAACAAACAAAAGAGGAATGAATTAGCAATTGTTTTGTGACCAACAGAAGGAGCGAGGGAATACATTATGTTTTCCATTGCTTCTTATATACTCCAATTTAACAAAGGCACTCTGGTTAGGAAAGGTTAGGCAACATTTTTATGGCATATTTGCTGCACAGACCTCAGATCTAGCAGCCATTTACTCTTCCTTACAATTTATAAACATTTCAAAGTATTTACCACAAGAAAAATCAGGGTTGATATAACTGATATTCAGTTGTAAACAGTGCCCCAACAGTGCCTGGAAAGCAATAATTATTGTACAAAAATAAACAAGTCAAAATTAAAATGGTATAGGCCTTTTTCTTTTGCTCCTTTTCACTTTTCAGTGGGTAGGTTAAATTTCACTGGCCACACCCAGGGAGGATCAAAAGCCCTTAAGTAGAACCTATCTGACAACATGAAGTAGGCCTGAAATCTCATAAGCATTATGCCCAGAGAAAACAGAAACAGATGAGAAACGAGGTAACCAATTGCTACCAGTCTGGGGAGACTGATATAATCCATCCATTATCACTTACCATGGAGAGAGTAACTCAACTAAAACATCTAAAGAGACACAACTTTGTAACTAAACTGAAAGGCGCAGAAAGGAGAACATCAATTAGAGCAACATTCAAGAGGCTCCTGGTAAGTCTGGAGGAGTTGTAGAGATCCACAGCTCAGGTGGGATAATCTGTTGAGAACTCTACGAAGCTGAGTTGCTAAATTAAACGGGTGAGATTGAAAAATGTTTCAGCCTATTTCCAACATGCTGTGTAACAGAAAATGCACGGCTCATATCATCTTAAGCACAGCATCCATATGCTGAAGCATAGAGGTGGTAGCATCATGCTGTGAGGTTGGTTTCCCGTCAGCGGAAGACATAAATCAGGATTTCCAATAAGGTCGTAAAGGAGCTTTGGTAAACCTCTCAATGTTACACCAATAATGGGTTTGATAAGAATCTTTTTGGAATTAAATTTCAGACCTTAATCTGTTTGACCAAGAGTGTCAAGACTCCCAAACACTCTGGTTCATTTTAACTTAACTTTAACTATTTTGTGAAGACAAATGGGCACTAATAGCCTGTATTTAAATGAACAAAGATGGGAAAGACTAGTCAATCATTTTAAAAACTCTTAAAAGGAAATTCAAATGTAATATTTCAGCAGTTTCCAGCTTTACGGTAACATCTAATCGTTGTTAGAACAAACTTGACTCAACTCATTTTAATTTAGTATTTTTTATCTGTGTAGAGATTTGCATGTTTCCCTTGTGCAGTTCTGTTTCTGGGTATTTTTGGTTAGAATTTGCCAAAAAAACACAGACTGGCTTAAAATGAGAAAGGCTTTGTGGTCTGGTGACAAGATCATTCTTTTTGGGTTTTAAGGCCAGACGGTTTGGCAGATGACCTGAAAACACTGGATTCAAGCTACAGGACAGAGAAGCATGGTGGTGCAAGAATCCTAATATGGGGATGTTTCTCATTCTGTGGTTGACCAAAAATAGTTTGACTTTATGCGCCACAGATGTTAAGAAGTTATCAGAAACAGTGACTTTCCAATAGTTTTATCATTCCCAGGAAACTTATTAAATGTTCAAACATTTGTTTAAACAGTACGAGATTTAAGATCATAAAGATGTCAACTGCTTTAACATTATTTCTTGACTTTTAGTATATATATATATTTTTTTTAGAAATTTCTTGTTTTTTTAATAGAATGTGCAGTGTTCCAAATATATGTTAAAGTACTGTTTATTTGAAGAATTTTGAGTTTTACTCATCTTTTTAAACAGTTCATTCTTCTTTACCCATTTCCCCATCTCTAATAAACTATTTTCTTTGCTCCATTTGACCATTCATCACATATGACTTGCATTATATTGGTCTTTAATGAAATCAAGGTTTTCAATGATGTTTCCATGTGCTAGGAATGAAAACAAAACAAGTTCTCAATGCAAAACAAGTTTTATTTCAACACAGGATTCCTTTCTTCTGCTGCACTCATTTAGTGCCAGGCACATTGACAGAGAGGGGACAAAGTGGCATCAGAATAACTCGTCTGGTTTAATGACAGGATGAAAAAGGCGATTGTAGAGGAGCCCACCTGGATTCAGGTAGGCTGCAAGCTTCTTCAGAGTTTACACGTCTTCAGCCGTTTTAATTTAAAACATAAAAAGAGGCTGACCCCAAAGCAAAAGAAAAGTATGTTCTCTGATAATGCAAGCAACAAGGACAGAGCAGAGAGGTACCTGCAACAATACATTCACAAACAATCAAAATGGAATTACTGCAAAGAGAAACATTTGGAAATCAGTCGGAGTGTTCATATTAGCTCCATTCTTTTGGCATCCATTCTTACACAGATTGTGCTTCAGCTTTAATCTTTTTTGCCTACTTGTTAAAGAAATATTAAGGCAAAGAATTTTTTTTATAAGGCATCTAATTAAACAGTCATGCAGGTTGAACGCTGAAACCGTAAGGATAAAGAGGTCAAAGATATCAAGAGAAAGTTGATTTTTTTTTTTTACAACATACAACTGATGAACAGATTCACACATCAATTTTAGGCCTTTAAATCTAATTTTGGAGATCTAGCCTTTATCCAGTTCACAAAATGAAAACCAACAAGTAACCGCACAGCTAAGTTTGATCATCATACAGTCATAGTGAAATACCTAGCAAGCTGACTGTGAGTGATTGTATCATAGCAGGATTCAGTTTGAGGCAGATTGATGAACCAAAAAAAAAAAAATACAGGACTCAGTGTGAAAAGTGCAAAGAAGTTGAAATCACAAATTCTAAATTGCATGTGGAGCACACCACCAGCAACAGAAAGAAAATCCTCAGGCATGCCTTGCATTGTACAGGTAATGATGAAATAACCATCGGGAGAGGAGAACAGGAATGAGATAAGCAAAGAAAGCAAACACTGAGAGAAGTGGTGCGCTCAGACCATCAGTAGAAAACCACACTGGACTTTCCTCCAGGTGGGTTGAGGACCCTGTTGTGAGAGCGAGGCTTAGGTCCCAGGTGAGGCTCATGCTTTTTGAGCGATGTCTCGTCAGGAAGTGGTGCAGCAGGCTTAGGCTCTGGACTGGCTGAGATGACTGGAGGCTCTTCCTTAGCAGGAGCAGGAGCAGGAGCCGGGGAGGCAATCTCCTCTTTCACTTCTGGCTGGCTGACTTTGGCTTCAGGTGCTTAAAGAACAAAGAAAGAAATGCTGCTTCATATCCATCACAGAGGAACCACAGCTGAGATCCAAGTGATTAAACATAATGCTATTATATAAAACTGGTTTTCATATACATTCTAGTTGTTGGGATGTAACACTTATGGCAGAATTTTGCTCTAATGCATTAAGGCTGCAGCATGGCAGTAAATGAATCTACTGCAGTAGTTATCAGAGGCCCTTTGTTTACTCTGAGGGAAAAATTCTCCTTTCTGTTCTGCTTCTAAAACTTTAGCACCACATTGTTTACAGTCTGCCTCAGACACAGAGAGGTCTCTACGATAAGTAGCAGGATTAGTGAAAGAAATAGCTCTGCTAGATTTAGATTCCTGAAAAGGAGAAAATCATTTAACCATGTGACCTAATGTCTACGAAAAAAAAATTACTTTGCTCTTAGGAATCATAACTAACCAATTATAAATATACTGCATCAAAACTGTATGAAGTTAATCATGTCATTTATTTACAATCATTTGATTCCATATTCATGAATTTAGCTAAATGATCTCCTGTATTTCACATAAGAAGTCACAGCATAGACTCACCTGGTGACTCAGGCTCAGGTCCCACACTTAGATTGTCCTGCAATAAAATCCAAGATATAATTTTCTTAATAAAATGAATGGGAGAAAAAGTATACAGATTCAGTGTTGTAGATTTGCAGAGAAACTACAAACAAATTAAACAGGTTAACAGCAAAATGTTTTCCAGTGGAAAATAAATGATAAAACACAGTTTATAGTGGCAGGTTTGAGAGAATATATGATCAAATCAACATTCCTGCAAATGTCAAAATCTTTTGAGGTGCAGCTTTTCAATTTCTCTTCTTTGTTCAAATACATTTAAATTTTCATCAAGGTTCATGTTAAAACCAAAATTATCAGTAAAGATGATGAGGAAGGGAAGAGAAATTTAGAGTTCAACCACTGCCTCCCTGAGCAAATGGTGCAGATTACCAGCAAATCCCATGACCAAATTAACCATGGTTCAGACACTGAAACTTTGTCAAATGCAGCAACCTAAGACGTTGCTATTTATCCTGAAACAGTGTCTCATATTTGACCCAGATTCTTCCAAGTTTATATGAAGGCACTCAAGCCATCAGTCAGCTGCATAGTCCAAAGGCTGCAGCATTTTACCACACAAAAAAACATCATGAATCTTAATGGAACTGAAAGCTGTTGAAATATATTGCCAATACAAACTTAATTTAGCCACTCCCTCTTCTATACATTTGGATTCTATTCTTAAATAAAGGGACAGAGTTTTGATTTGTTGAACTTGGCAATTTTTGCAAAAAAACTGGGACTTTAAATTTTTATTTCTCAAACTAAAGGAATTAACACAAAGTAAGGAAAGGACTGAAGTCAATCACAGTATCCTCGTAAGATCCTGACTGTCCAATACGTTCTATGACTGTAAGAAGGTTATACAAAGAGTCATATCAACCTGAAAGAAGAAGAAAATCTCCTGGTTCTTAAATCCTTTTAGATAAAAAGTTACTGAATATTTAGCAATGCAAAAAAGTTTTAATTAATTAACCAAACCTGCTGAATGTATGATGGGAAGTGAGCAGTGTGATCTAAAGCTGGGTTTCCGGCCTACCTTTGGCTTGTTTGGGTGGCTTCGGCTTGAGCTTTGTACAGGTGTGCTTTCTGCAGACCCAAATATGTTGCTGGTTGCTCCATAGGGAGGTGCGGACCTCTGTGGCTGAGCTGGTGCTTCGGGTTCTCCAAATATCCCACTACTCTTCCCACCTGCTCAAAGTCTCTAGTTAGTGACAGAAGTATTCAATCGGGACAGAAAATCTACTCAATTTCACATATCTCTGAATCTGAGATCATCCTTCTTAATAGCTGTTCTGTTTTGGTTTCTCTTATGAGTTTTCTCTTACTGTACCACCTCTAATTCTTATGTTGGTTGTCATATTTCACCTGGTACTAATCTGCATAATATAATTTGCTTATCTTTGCTATTGAAACACCTACTTCCCCCACTGAGGGACAATAAAGATGTTCCAATTTCTATCGACTTTCTTTGCGATAGAGTAATGAACATCTGTAACCCTTAAACGAGTTTCTATCAAAAGTTAGAAAAGCTTTAACACTTCAACGGAGCTCAGCATCTATTTGACTTTTAAAACATAGATGGGAAAATCTAGCAGGAAAGTTGTGAGCCTAACATGTAGGAGTTCTATTTATACTGGAACGATCACATCATGGTAACAACTTTCACACTTTCGGCTTAACCTTGGTTAGGTTTTCACCATCATCAGTTCTAAAAATTACAAAAAAAGCAAAGAAAAAAAGGTCTGACCTGGAGGATTGGTGCGTCTAGATACATTCTGGGGCTCTTCAGGCGGGGCAAAAACTTTAGAAGCCATCTTATTAGGTCGCCCTGACTGAGCATTATCCTCTTCATAGCCACCAAAGAGGTTACTAGAGCCCCCACCAGGAGGCCGCAGCACCCTGCATGGGAAAAAGAGTAAGAGCTCCTGTTGAAATACCTCTAATCTACATTAGATTTGAAAATATTTATTTAAAAAAGATACAGGGAAAAGCTTCTTATTATATATATTTTTTAAGTCCATATCACTAAACTAAGAGGCTGATTTATACGTCATTGCAGGGAAATGTAGAACCTTTGCTCATGCTTTTATTGCTAAAAAAACCAAACACACTGTTATATACGTTTTGAGTAACAATTACACATTGTTCCATATCTTTTTTTTATTTTATTTTTATGATGAATCAAACTTTATCCATCATAAAACTTGTAGCATTAAGGAATGTTTTCAGACTTTTAGAAGTCTCACAATAAAGGAAAGCATCTACTAAATGTACTGAGAACATGGTTTCCAGTCAGCAAAGCCAAACATCCCAACTGAACTACCAACATGCTTATGTTGATATGAGACAATTTAAATGATTTTTAATCTACATTTTAATCCTATGGAGCTTCTGTGCTGAGTAATTAGAACTGCACTCTCTTTTACACAAATGGTAGGACATCACTTCTACTCTATATATGAATAATGTATGATCAGAGATGACAGAAATGCTATGTAACATCCCCTATACAGTTAACCACTAAAACAACTCAGCCCTCAGAAGATGTTTTTCTGTATTTCATCTCAAATTGGATTTTAAAAAATCCTGCACAGTAGTAAACAATTTATATTCTGTAATTATATTCACTTGACTTTTTGTTTGTATAAATTGCCCTGCCCAAGAACATGGATCCTCTGTTAAGGAAGCAATTCTAAGAAATTGGCAGAGTCTAAAACTGCGATTGACATCAAGAATTTTTCACAATTCTATGATCAGGAAAAGATAAATATATCATGTGGTTTAATCAGAAAAAAAAGAGGTTCATTACTTAAGCCATTCAAAGAGTTGAGCTTAGTTTACACCAACGTTTTCATTAATTTTTCCCCAGTTCTTGCTACAACTGTTGTTTTGGATCTTTTCCTTGTTTATATATATATATATATATATATATATATATATATATATATTTTGTCTTTTAAGAAATGAGAAAAATTTCTAAAACATCAAATGGTCTCCTAATACAGTTCAGAAATGCTTAATCAGACCTAAATGATATACTAAAATCGTCCTCCCTACTTTTCAAGACGACATGATGACTCTTTTAAAGCCACCAAAAAGAATGAGTAGCCATTTTTTAGAATGAGTCTGGTTGAACAGTCACAAAATAGTCCCATATTTTAAAAAAAGAATAGAAAACATGTAATCTATCTGTATGGTGTGGCAGACAAACAGTAAACACAGCTAAATTACATGTTATCAAAAATATATATACTCATAAATAATGCTGTATGCGTGGAAAACATGTCCTAGTGAGTTTGACGCCATTTATAGAGGCTATAGCTACTATTTAGTGGATTTAAACCGCATTACTGTTTTCGAAAAACGCCGATGTGTATCAAGAGCAATGTGATCACGCTTGTATTGGTGAATACAAAAGAAGGAGCAGACTGAGGAGCATTTTCCACTTCCGCAGGGACAGACAACGCCTGGTAGGCTAGCATAAAGGCTATAAGACGCTTGAGTTTGACTAAAACAGTAATACTCATAGTATTTATAAAACTGGTAAATTGGTTTAATATATAATGCAAAGTTATCCTACAAATAAATATATATCGAAACTATAGTATTTAAAGATAATATAGTCAGGTGACGTTGCAAGAAAGCGGAAAACGTTGTCCGACAACGTTTATCAACCTTAACGGTTTCAGCTAAATTAGCTCTCAATTGGTATTTTTAATCACCTTGAACTTGGTTTTCCACCGGTATCCAATCCCTGGAACATGTTCGTCGAAGTCATACTGGTTTTGTTTGAACTACGCCAAGTTTTGAGAAAGAAACTTCTTCGTCCGCCAGTTAGACGACCAACAACTTCGCCCCCTGTCTGCGCTCCAACCACCAAACCTCCCAAAGAATTTGACCCGCCTAGTTGTGACGTAGAGAACTGTTATTGGTCAGCCTCCAGTGGCCAACGACGAGGTGCGCTCGATTCTATAACCACTGGAAAATGTTAACTAGATGATAGACAGGACCTATAGAGACGTTGATCAGCATTAAAATATTTACTAAAATCTCCTTATTATACTTGTAATATAGACACTTAAACTACTTTAGATGAATTTTAAGTATTACTCTTATATATTTGTAAACGTGTCTGCCATATTGTGAGTGGCAATTTCGCCTTAGCTAAGCATTAATGCGATAAATTTGTGTTAAAAAGAAGAACTAAAGCCTTTCACATTTAATCACATGCTTATTTCAGTACAAATTTTAGGCTTTCATAATAACATTTACTAGGTAAGGTTCTTCTTTCCCATTCCCTTTAAACTTGTGTTAAATGTTTCCATTAACAAGCTTTTCCTATGATAAAATTTTGGCCTATTTCTCTGATTCAGGTTTGTGGGCTGTCTTAACTTTTAAGCTCTTCCTGCACATTATTAAAAGTATTTTGGAAGATTTAATTACCAATTTCTAACGATGTTTTAATACATTTAAATACTGTTCCTGCTAGAAGTGCACCAGTGCCCCCTGCAGCAGAAAAAAAAAAAAAAAAAACAGCAACGGCCCCTTTGTATTTTAATTTTTTTTTCACAAGACCAATTGTTTTTTCGGATTCAATTTCGACTTTCTTTTTCTTTTTTTCTTTTTTTTTTTTTTTTACAAAATGCTGCTCAAAAATGTCAGCATGTTTGAATGACGTGTTACCCTGAAATCCATTCAGAGCCGTGCCTCCCTGAACCTCTAGTTGTCAGACTTTCCTCTCAGGAGGTTCTAGAGTCATGACGGGGCTTTAATAAAAGGTTTATTGGATATCTCTGTGCATCTATGTCTCTGAAAATAAACAAATTTGAAGTTTTAATAAGATAATATCCCCTATATTTTTTTAAGATTATATAGTAAAATGTTATGTATCATTTGGCCAGTTACTTACTAATAAAATAAATCTCACATTAAATTCTTTAGAACGCAGAACTGGCCCTCAGTGATTGTGTTTCCTGAAAAATGACACTCACAATATGGCGGAAACTTTTACGTTTTTTTTTTTTGTTTTTTTGTTTGTTTTCTTTTTTTTTTTACCCCTACGCCAAATCCAAACGCATACTCTAGAATCCGTTCATTAAATGTTTTGTTTGTCAAACCTCAATAATTTTCTGGATGGAACCTATTCTCAAAAATAATAGTTTCTTAAATATAATGTTACGATAACGACTAAAACAAAAAGGGAAAAGGCTTCTTTTTTTTTTTTTTTATCTGATGGGGCATGACAGGAAGGAAAATACAATTGGTTCTTTGTAGATCTTCCGTAAGCAATGATTGGGGAACGTTTCTGTCAGTCATCTTTCAAACTGCCGCCCTCGCAAATTGTAGGCCAATCAGAGCCTTTGTTTTGAGATGTAGTAGGCGGGACTACGCTGCTCCCCGGGAGCTGTCATCGGTACCAGGTTGAAGACGGTTAGCAATGCTAGCCTCCTTCTCGGTTAGGACAAAAAATTGGGAAGCTTCAACTTCAGGTAATTTTTAAACTCACTTGTATGTCATTATAAACCTAACAGAGTTGGAGTCTAGGCTAAACTGTACCTATCAATGACTAAGTTAAGCAACGTTTTAGTGTGTTTCAACGACTTAGCGGTAAAGTTGGCTAACCAAACAGCATTAGCAGCTATGCTAGCTAGCGCCTTCTCCATCGTCTTTTCATTTTTTCCCCACAAAGTTTAATATTTCACATTTTTAGAGCACAGGCTCTAAAAAGCTCTAAAGTTGACTTAACCAAACTTCCATTGCTTTGTTCACATTTTAATTTTATGTCAGGTCGTTTGGGAGAATATGGGAACATCAAAGCTCCTAAATCAAAAACCTGTGATGAAAAGTGATTTAAATTAGTTGATTAATGTGTTGTCAGAGTTTTGCTGAAATGCCACTGCATATAAGAAGCTTTTGGAGATGTTGATCATTAAACTATTGACACACAGTGTTTGTTTGTTTTTTTAATGATCATTATTATTTGTGATCATAGCAATGCATGGGAACTTTAAAACCAAGTTCATATTAAATCATTTTAAAAAATCTTATCACCCCTCCCCAGACACACAGAGTTGTGGATTATGTCTGATCAGCCAGAGAGAGACATTAAGGTTTTTACATATTTCCTTTCATGTTATAATAAATACATTTCCCCTCTTTATTTTCATATTAGACATTTTTCAGTATTTTTATTCATTTTCTTGCATTTCATATTTATTTAACTGCCATCTGTGCTGTTTTATTTGGTTATGATTGCCCTGTTATTGCCTATGATTAGATCAGATTTGATAAAATGACAGATCATTACATTGTAATTGTTATATGTCTGCTCTTCAATTCTATTTGTGCACACTAACTCTGCTCGAGGTAAATTTAAGAGGATTGTCAATTATATGTCGATAAAAAAAAATACTAACCATTTCATTTTAGCATTATGTTAAAAACTGTGCATTAGATAGATTAAAATGCTGAGATGATTAATTGTGATCGTGACGTATTCTCAAGTCTTATTTGCAACCATGACTGTAACAATCACCGTATTTTAAATGGGCTCCAATGACTGGAGCTTTGCTAAATTGTTCATCTATTGTCGGTGGTGCATATTGAAAATCCGCAAGTTGTTTTTATATTTGAATTTGCTTAATTTCTGTTAAACTCAGTGAGTAAATGTTGCTGATAGAAAACAGTTGAACTGCGCAGAGTTCAGCTCAGTCGAAGCAGGAGCAAGGAGAGAGGGCAGACAGCAGAGGGATCGCTTTCGGCTTTATTATGCTCAATTTGATCGCTAATTGCCAAGCAAAGAGGGAGGACTCATGGTGAAGAGAAAGAAGACGTGTTCCACCTCCGAAGAGCTCGATAATGGGTAAAAATCGGGTTGAAATAAATACTTTATTTAGAGGTCGAGCGCAGCGAGGAGATCTCTTGTCGTCGTTCCTGCAGGGCGCTAAACTGAAAAGCGCTCGCATTTGAATTTAGTTTCATTTATTACGATGTTATTGCACGTTTAAGACTAGCGGTTCTTGGTAAACCACCTCCACTTTTCGTTGAATGGTTTCATGTGCTCATTTTAACGTATTTTGGGTTGTATATTTTATAAAATTTGTCTTGTTTTGACGGGACTGAAGAGGGGATTTGAAACAAACAGCGGCGGCCATGTTGAGAGACAGTGACCGTCGTCTTTAGAAGTTAATTTCGCACAAGGCTTTGCTCCTGATTTGACAATTTCCCCTTGAATGTGTTCTTGGCAGCATGACACTTGGCTCCAGGGAGGCAATCGGTGTCGATGGGAAGCGGAATCCGTCCAGAAAGCCCGAAGGTTGCGACGAGGAGGAGAGCGGAGAGCAGGCGAGCGACGAGCGCAGTACAAAGGGAGAGGAGCGAGTGGAAATTCTTAATCCATCAACCACGGGTCCCAGCTCCGGTCCGACCACGGTCCTACCCGGGTCCCCACCGAACCGGACCGGAGCGGGTTCGAACCAGCAGCCCCAGAGCTCCGCGGAACCCGCCCCTCCGTGTCACGACCAGCATCATTTTCTGCGATCGAGTGTCCGACCTCCCAGCAAACGGATACGGAAGGATTCAATCGGATCCACCATCAATGGGCACGGCGGGGCAAAATCGAAAGGTACAGTGGCTGATCAGCTCAAAGGCAAGTGGGCATGGGTTGGATCAGTAGGTGGTCTGCTCTCTAACCTTCCAAGCTCCGCTTGTAGTTTATCCCTAAGGTCAAAACTGTGAGTGTTTTGTTGCTTTTTAATCCGGAGGCACTTGCAGTGTTTAACTCAGGGTGAACTTATGACAGCTCCATCCTTTAAGCTGCAACATCATTCTGTTCAAAGGAGGAGTGGTCACAACTTATATTTTTATCTGGGTCTATTTTCAGTCACACTTTCTCAGAAATGGAGCACAGTGTCATAAGGACTGATCTGCAGAAACATGTTGCAAATCCACTTTGGACATGAGAGTAATTACAGGAATATACAATATATATAAACGTTTATTTATATCAATAATTCCTCTTTTATCTAGGATGAAATAATGTATAGATAGTATAGATAAAGTTAAGGTATTTGACTTATTATAGTTTAGGCTAATAATGCTTACTATTAGGCAGATAATTAGGACTTCTTATAAAGAAATTCAAGCCAGTATGTCCACGTACTCCACATCTACTGCTTCTTTTGCATGAAATACTGCATCAACTCATCAAAGTCATCAGCTTGTGGCTCAGCTCAGGTTGTGGCCTTCAGCTCATCTGCATTAGCCGTTGCTGTCTGGTTTCCTGATGGGGTTAATTTGAGGTGAATTCGTTATCTAATTAAGCATAGTAGCAGTATGGTATTTAAGTCGGTAGTTTGATTTATTATTTTATTTTTTTAAATAAAAAATTGTAAAATCACACTTCCTCAGACACTTAATATCTAGGTTTTGATCCATCGATTCAGCCAATCACAGCGGACCATGTGTTAGAGTTGTCATTTCCAGTTGTTGTTGTATTTTACTTTCACACATGTCCACAAAAGGTGCCGGCAATAAACTGTGTTTTCGGTTTATTACTATGTTATGGCTTAGTGAATGATTTAGTCGGTCCGACCCTCACTGCTGCCAGGAATAGTAGTAAAATCAGGTGTATTGATGCAGTAATGCTGGGACTGCACAATATTCAGACAAAAGTTCATCGTTGTATCATTGCAGAATATTTCTATGAGGGAGTAAACTAAATAAATCCACTTTTCCTGCACTACCCTTGATGCTTTTTGTCATCAAAATATTCCAACTATTATTCCTAAATTCCGAGCATTTGATGAACTGATAAGGAGAATGAAAGGAGATCTACTGGGACGCATTTATTCTTGGCAAGTACAGGTTTAATACACGGTGCCATAACTATAATCACCCTCTAAATA